TAAATGAAAGGAATGGTCATTATAAAAGTCTTGTAAAATTTAGAGTACCAATGGTGATTCCTCTCTTCTCCTCGGTGGCTTCATCAATAAAATGAGATTGATGACTATCTCTACCAACGCATTCTATATGATCATGGTATGGCCTTTTGTATAAACCATTTCTGCCTTACCCATTTTCGCATCGCAACTCCAAGAGCTATCTTGTTGGGGCTCTCCTCTAGGTAAACAACTTGTATCAACATTAGGCATGAAAACCAAAATTGCTTTGGTTGATATATTATCAGGATCTTGTGATACTCTAAAGAAGGCTAAACCGTTTCTCAAGCATTATCAACCCCCAATCAATTTGACGTGGGTCATTGCTCTCTTACCATCTAAATTAAAGAGGAAGCTCAGGTTAGCCTCTTTTATAGCTTAACTTGACAATTTCTTAGAGGAGATACAAACACGATTCACAATTCTAGAACAACCACCTCAGATAGAGCACTTCTACTATGCTATATAGTATTGGTGCTTTAATGTACAACTTAAAGTTGTACCATAACATTAAATGTATAAGCTTAGGTTGTACCATAAAGCAATTTGTACTATTATGTTATGGTACAATTTTACAACTTGAAGTTGTACCATCACATAAAGGTACAAGTTCAAGCTGTACCATAAAAGAATTTGTACAAAAAGTATAGGTACAATCTAAAGTTGTACCATAACATAAATGTACAATTTTAAGTTGTACCATAAAGGCAAAACCCTATAACACCAATACTATATAGCATTGTAAAATTTCTCCCTCATATAATACAATCTTATGGAAACAACACTAATGAAGCACCTAAATTACAATTCTGTACATGTTTACTATGTGGGTGTGCATGTGTAGATTAAGAAAAATATAAGGATTAAGGAGGGAGCTTACTTGACACGCGGTTTTGATGAGCGAAAATCCCGTCAATAAATTCCAGGTGGATATTTCCAATCTATCGGGTCCAGACATGCGTATATATCAACATGCTATACTACAAACACAAAGAGTTCGGTTTATCCTTCCCATGATAACATATGTTCACCATTTATTATTATTTTTTTTTTTTTTTTTGCAGAGAGAAGGATATCAAATCATCTTGTATCTGCTCCAATTATCGCTATCACTAGTGCTTTTTATATTGTAGTAATTAGAACCCCACTTTTAAATCTGGAAGCAAGTGACCACTATCACGAAACATCATATTGAAAAAACTTATCTGCGATCATGAGGTTATTTCAATCAAAAGAAACCATTTTTATATGTTGAAGATCAGCATTATAGCTTGAATAGTTCAATTCAACAATGATCTCAGCTCTTACATATAAATTTTTGTGTAAAAGTAATATGATTGAAGCTTTTCCCTATGTTAACACTAATCAGAATAGTCTTTGTTTACTGAAAACTAACCACAAAAACATTTCAAATAAAAAAAATGATGATACTGAAAAGGAGTATCATAACATAATCAACAAAAAAGTATAGTTATTTATCTTTAATACTCAAAAGTCAATCTATAAGATCAACCAAATGAACTGATGTTAAGAGATCACACATTACTTTCAAAGAAACTAAATAACTCATCAGTAAGCTCTCCAAGCAAGAACAATCAACATTTCCACATTTACCGCTCTGAAAATTGCTTTGCGTAACAATATAGGTGGAGGAGGTTAGCCGGTTGTCGAGTCCGATGGGAAGGTTTGGAGAGACGATGATGGTTGAGCGTTAGTAGGCTGGGAGCCGGGGACATTGTTAGCCTTTGCCATACATATATATATATATATATATATATATATATACATATATATGGGGAGTTCTACGGTACCCAGGGTGAAATCCGGGATACCGCATACCTTGAGTAAGAAAAATGCTATCCAGAACTTGAATTGACTGATGTTTCGTACATGATACTGTACTCTTACCCTTAAAGATCAAAATCTAGGTCTTATTTCTCTAAATCTTATACCCCAAGATCAATTTAATTAGAAACAATAATCGACGGTTATGATTCGTCAAAATATAGATAAAAAATCAATGCACCATCTTAGGGTTTATAGTTTATGATTTAGAAAATTAGGACCTAGGGTTCACTCATTAAGGGATAGGGTATAGAATCATGCCCAAAAATCCTGCTAATTCGAGGTCTAGATAGTGTTTTCATACTCAAGGTATGTGGTACCTCGGATTTCACCCGGGGTACCGTAGAAGGCACCATGGGTCACGCTGGTGTGCTCCATACGCATAGTATGCTCCAGGTTCTGTAAACCGTTGATCTAATCTAACGGTTAATATATATAATAATTAAATGATTTATTAATTATGATGTAAAGATAATTAGTTGGTTACATTATTTTTTCATACATGCTCTTTATTTGCTTAATTTGTTTAGTTTATTTTGATTTTAGAAATTAGTCATATTAAACTATTTTCACTTATAGTTTGCTCATAGAATTGATATATTATAAGGTTGTACTAGTCCCTGAGAGACGATACCCGGACTTTCCGGTTTACTACAAGATAGGAATTAAAGCATTACGCTTTTGCCCTATCAGTATATAAAATCAAATACAAAGCAGATGGATCCATTGAAAGGCACAAGTCTAGGCTGGTTGTCAAGGGATTTACACAGATTTATGGTATAGATTTTCTATATACCTTTTTCCCAGTTGCAAAGATAAACTCAGTCAAGGCTTTGTTGTCAGTTGCAGCCTCACATGATTGGCACATTCATCAGATGGATGTAGCCAATGATTTCCTTCATGGTGATTTAAATGAGGAGGTTTACATGAAACCTCCAACTGGAGTTGTAGTTTCAGATCCAAGAATTGTTTTTTTAACTCAAGAAATCACTTTATGGCTTGAAGCAAGTTGCAATGGTTTGCCAAGTTAACAGCTTTTTTGTTGAAAAATGGCTTCTCACAGGCAGCTTCTGATTATTCTATGTTCATTAGAAGGTTTCAGGGAAGAGTGCTTGTTGTTTTGGTGTATGTTGATGACATTCTAATTGCTGGGAGTTCATTAAGTGATATTGAACAGACTAAGAGACTCCTAGGGAAGGAGTTCAAGGTCAAGGATCTGAGAGTTTTGAAGTTCTTTTTGGGATGGAAGGTCTACAGGGATCATAGAGGGATATTTGTGAATCAAAGGAAGTATTGTATGGATTTATTGGAGGATACATGATACATGGATGCCAAAGACTGTTTGTCTCCTGCAGATTGCTAAGTTCAGTTGACACCAAAGCAAGGAGAACCTCTGCCAAATCCAGAAGTTTATAAGAGGCTGGTAGGAAGATTGCATTACATAACAATAACCAGGCTCGATCATACATATTCAGTACAACAGTTGTGTCAGTTTCAAAAGGACCCTTATACTAATCATTTGCAAGCTGCTTATAGAGTGCTAAGGTACTTGAAGCATGCACCAGGTCAAGGACTGTTGTTCAAGGCAGGAACAAAGATGGAGTTGACTGGTTTTTCAGATTCAGATTTGGCCAGTTTCCCAGATACTAGAAGATCAGTGACAGGGTACAGTAAATCATGTCTTTCACGAGAGGATGAAGCCTATTGAGATTGATTGTCAAGTTACTAGAGAAAGTGATATGATCCAAATTGGCCAACTATTCATGTCACAATTAGTTGACAAAGAAGCTATCAAAGTTGGGAAGAAGAAGGGCAGAATTTGGCTAAGTCAAAATCCGTGTTCAGGGTACATACTTTGGAGGCATGGTTCTCTCAATTGGCTTGGTGGAAATTCAAGTTTAAGAGTTTGTTTTACAGATAAAGTTACCATGTTTCTAATGGTATGCTTTGTGGATCCAGATAATGTCATTAAGGTTATTTTCCAAGGCCTCAAAGTTACTATCTCAAAACTGGAAAACTGCCAGAAAATGACTAAGGCAGAAAACTGTTTTGTGAAGCCTACTTTGGAGCTCAATTCAAGGAGCATGGATGGGATTCATGTCAAAAGGCTTCCACAACATGAGACTAGGTATGTTTGTGAACAAAGGGAAGGAATTGGATGAAGAATTGGAGTTCGGAAAGGCCTCGAACAAAAGGCGCGAAGTTAGTACGAAAGCTGCCTTTTGACTGTTTTGCGGGCAGATTACTTGTGCGCCAAGAAAGGAAGTTTATGGCCGAATTTTGAGTCCTTTTTAGAGTTTGTTTTTACCATAATTGTTTCCTAGTTACATTAGGTTTGTATTAGGTTTTCTTGGCTATAAATAGCCTTCTAATTACGTTGTAAAATTCAGATTTTGAGAATTGAAATTAAACCGTTTGGTTTGTGCAAGTTGCGACTTGTTGAGTTTGGTGGATTCCAAGCTTGTGAGCTTTGTATCGATTGAATATCCTCTTCAATCGTGGTCGAGCAGCTACCCTTTTATACCATACGAGCTTTCCCCAAGTGTGGAATTGTCCGTTGGTTCCGTTTTATCCCAAGTTCGTATTAAGAGCGCTTCGTTCTTGATTCGAGCTCAATCGATTCATCGATTGAGTCGTTGCTGCGTTACTTTGATAAAAATACACCCTCCAGGGTCGTATTAGAAAGGCTTAAATCTGGAATGATTAAACTGCAGCATGTGAGAACTGATGACTAGTTAGCATATTTATTCATCAAAGGATTGACTCGTTACAGGTCGAAATATCTACTTGAAAAGTTGGGAGTCATTGACATGTACTCGCAAACTTATGGAGGAGTAACAGAGTAGAAAGATTGCAATGAAGCTGATAGAAGGAAAGTTGCAGAAATGATCCAGGAGGAGCAGCTGAAGAACAGAGCAGAAGACAGGCAGAAAGCGAAGGTTGAAACGGTGACGTAGAGACCAACACTTACCATTAGGTGGAGACCAAAAGGGCCAGCCTGACGAGGACACATGGCATTCTCATTTTTGTTTTAGTTTAAATTACAGTTTAACAGACATTTTCACGTTTTACTGTTTACTGCAACTTTACCTTTCTGATTGTTGGTATAAATAGAAGAATCAGAGGCTTGGCAATTTGCAGGTTTCCAAACAATCATTGCTCGCATTCTTCTTCTCCCTTACAACCAGCTGCAACCCTAGCAGCTTGGTTTCACTTAACATCATCCCCACAGTCCTCGTCGCTAGGCCGCTGAGCAGAAAAGTCGAACCGCAAGAGAACATGAACTTTTCAACCCACACCGTTGACCCGACGGCGACATCGCCTTCAGCTAGTTGACCGACGACTCTCGAACCGGCGACACCATTTCGCGCTCCAACAATACAAGCTGACTCTCCGGCGCCGTTCCGGCGAAGAAGGCCATCGGATTTTGCCGCAGAACACAAGATCGAGCGGCTGAGTACGAAAGCCCGCCGGAGAAGATGCGGGGGATCGACGCTCGTAGATAAACTAATAAAGGGAAGGAAACGGATAATAACTGGGGAAATTGGCTGACTTTCTGCTGATTGGAATTATACCCTTTGTATAAACAATTCTTTCTCCCACGAGCTGGTTTGTGATTGTGAAGGTTGAAGTAACGTATTGCTGACTCAGGTCGTTTGTTGTGTTTGGATAAGGGTTGTGGTCTAAGTGTCTAACCCCCACTCACATCGGTTCACGTCATATGGACCAAAGGTTGTCAAGGCTCCAGACCCACTTGCTTGTTCAAATTTCTGCGTAGGCGTAGCTAATAATAAATTGGAAATAGATTTCTGGGTGGGCCTGTCCAGGTTTTGGCCTTCGTGTCCGCCGGGAATTAAATGGCCTTATGACCTAGATGTAGGGCTTATGAACTTTTTTTACCTAGTTCAAATTGGATTGCTAAGTGGTAAAGGATCGGAAGAAGAAGAAATCAGAAGGGAGGTGGAACGAAGAAGAGACACAATGGACGGCGGCGGGGGAGTTTGATGACTGAGTTTAGGTGTGTGATAAAGGTGAATTGGGAATTGGTGGAGGAAGGAGGTGGGATGCGGGGGATCGACGCTCACAGATAAACTAATAAAGGGAAGGAAACGGATAATAACTTGGGAAATTGGTTGACTTTCTGCTGATTGGAATTATACCCTTTGTATAAACAATTCTTTCTCCCACGAGCTGGTTTGTGATTGTGAAGGTTGGAGTAACGTATTGCTGACTCAGGTCGTTTGTTGTGTTTGGATAAGGGATGTGGTCTAAGTGTCTAACCCCCACTCACATCGGTTCATGTCAGATGGACCAAAGGTAGTCAAGGCTCCGGACCCACTTGTTGGTTCAAATTTTTGCGTAGGCGTAGCTAATAATAAATTGGATGTAGATTTCTGGGTGGGCCTGTCCAGGTTTGGGCCTTCGAGTCCGCCGAAAATTAAATGAGCTTATGACCTAGATGTTGGGCTTATGACTTTTTTTACCTAGTTCAAATTGGATTGCTAAGTGGTAAACTAAAAAGTGAAATGAAGATTAAAGAAAGCATGTTCTCGGCCACAAATCATTAATAATTCATTTAACAATTTTCTTTGAAAGAAAGCATGTGAAAAGAATATGTTTCTCGGTTTAATTAATAATCCCAGCATACCTCTATCAAAAAAATAATAATAATAATAATCCCAGCATACCAAGTATGCCATATTAACAATTTTATATTGCGCGCAAAAAGCATCTTAAAAACCTTCACATAATATTTTAATCACAGTTCCATTAGTTTAACCTAAAGCCCACGTAAGAAAGGATTAGATCGAATCTAGGAGGTCACTTTCCCAATTCTAAACTGTAAAAAAACCCCCCAAAGATCTTGACCAAAAGTCTTTGAAAATTCATTTAACAACGCTTTTATTTTATGTCACCTCACATGGCTGGAAATGGCACCACAACTATATCAAACGAATCTCCGCATAATGCCATATGATCCCCCTCATATTTAAATCACAAATCAAGAGCTAAAAACAAATGCAAACAGATAAGCAGATTCCCCCAAAGTTGCCATTTTTGGGTTCATCAACCACACAATTCCCTGATTCCATTTGGTTCAGACATTGGAGGTAAAGTTAAAATTGGCGCAAGTAGTCTGCCTGAACAACAACGAAGAGCTGAACCCAAGCCTCGACGCCGCAAGATCAAACTGCAACAGATTATCCTCCACCTGATGCCCACCAATCACAATCGAAGTCCTGGGATTCACTCCACCATCCACAACTCCCAGGCAGAGCACGTCTCCCTTCACTTGAACCATCGAATTCGCACCGAAAATCCTCCAGAACACCTTGCTGCTCTGCAGCACCAGATCGATCTGCGGCACCGCGGGCCCGACTCGCGTGCTCCCGATCGCCGTCGCGTTGTAACACAGCTCGAACGGGCTCACCCCTGCCACTATAGGCACTCCACTCAGCTGCTTCGCGAAACTGGCGATCACCGCTCTGTGAATCGAAGTTTCGAGGACGGTGTATGGCTGAACGGTGCTAATCTTCGTCCCCCCAAAACCCTCTTGGTTGATTTTGAGCAATGTTGTGTTGAGGGGAACAATTTTGTTGTTGATTTTGATTGAGGTGACTCCGATGAAGTAGTCGGAAGATGGGTCGCCTTCGAAGTAGGCGGCGGCCGTGCTGACCTTGTTGAGAATCAATGGCGTGTAGATTAACGACTTGGAGATATCAATTTTGGGTAGCATCACATACGGCCCGTCTCCGAAGAAGACAACACCTTTAGCGGAACTCAAGCAAACTGCAAATTTTCTGTGGAAGCTGAATGCGGCAGAGAATCGGGAAGGCATGGCGATTTTGTTCCGGCCTAGACCAGCCATGCCCTTGACGCCCTTTGCAAGTCCTTCTAGCAAGAATGTGGAGCCACAAGTGAAGAGAAAGTTCGGCACTTTGACGATCTGACCCGGGTTCGACCCGGTGGTTGACTGGATCGAGACGACATCCTGACCGAGATCGCCCGAGGTAGCGGTTTGGGTCACGGTGTTGCCGGGTAGTAGGCCACATGTGTTGTTGTTGCAGCCTGGTTTTGGGGATGAGAAGCACTCCGTGGTGCAGCTTTTGGAGTTTGCTAGTGAGCATTGAGCCGATCTGCAACGGGCCGGTTTGTACGATGACGAGACATAGCCCTGTTCGCAGTCGACCCAGAGGTACTGGCCGCCGAGGTCGAGGGTTAGCTTGACAGGGACTAGAGGAGTTCTCTGGTTGATTTGGGTGAGGTATTGGAGGGTTGATGGGTCTTTGGTGACAGGGAGGATTAAGGCTTTTGGGCGGAATGAGGGCTGGGATTGAGATGGTGCAATGGAGAGGAAGAAGAAGAGAATGCAGGAAATGAGAAGGTGGTTAGAAGAAGTAGCCATGGCTATGGTGGATATGTGAAAGATGGGTTTCTAAGATGTCCATTTATAGTGGTTTTTCTGTACAAAGATGCCAGATTTTTGCCACATCTCAATCATTATACTATACCAAGTTGGTATTAAAGATTGACCATGACTTTGCATTAAACTATGCATCCATGGCTTCTTTCAATTGGGACCATGTTTATCTGTATAATACTCTGGGTTGTTGAAACTTGGGGTTATGTGGTCAACCAAGCCAAGTCATTGAATAAAGAAGAAAGATAGAAAAGCAAGGTCATATGCACCTTCTAATGTTTTGAGCTAAAGTTGAACAACCCAGTTCACTCCCAAGGAAAGTCATAGACATCCCCTGTTCCAAAAACCAGTGGCTCTTCCTGCTGCAGAATTTGCCATATGACTTTGAAGGTGATTGTCACTTCTATAATTTAGCTTCCCAATTTTATTTTCATTTTCATATGTAAACCGTATCTCTATATCAACTACTTTTGGACCTGCGAATTGTTTTTGTAAGGATAACAACAACAATATTTTTAACAAGCGTGAAACTGTTGCGTATTATGGTGAGATAATACTAAACAATATTGGTATAGTTTAGTATAATAGGAATGTTTCCCGTGGTATATTGTGAGCATGAACACGTCTTCTAAGTAATAAACTTTTTTTTGTAAAATGTATAGAAATGAATATCATTCTTATTCTTAGATCACACTAAATTTAATAATTGATTTATCACAAGGGGTATGTTGGAGGTTACAAAATAAATGAATGTGAATTTTGAAATACCAGATAAGGGGTTTTTTAGTTGATCAAGTTTAGGGTTCTTTGGAAAACGCATTTTTAATTGGATGCAAAATTTTGGATCTTTTTATGCAGACAAAATAACTATTGAGTATTGATTTCCTTATTGTTTTTTTTAGAGACGATTCCCTTATTGTTTTGAGGACTTATGAATAGGTGGATAGATTATGGAGTTATCAAAAGAGTAATAGAGAGATAAATAATGATTGAAGTATTATTAGGAATGTTAGATGGTTGATTGAAATAATATGTAATAAGATTGTAAAAAATAAATCTAAAAATCGACAAGAGAGAAAGATGATGTTGCTTTTAGTTTTTATTTTTTATTTTTAATGATATTGGAAAATCAATATGTGAAGTAATATTTCACTAATCGATTTGATCATTTCTAGTTAGAGGTGGCAATTGGATTGGATTGGTGGATAGGTGGATTTGATTGGTGTATTCATGTATCAAATGGATTGGATCCAATGGACTGGTGAATTCATGGATTGGATCAAGTGGATTGGTGGATTATCCATGAATCCAAATGACATCCTCAACCAATGACCAATATGTAAAATGAAAAAAGTTTAGATACTAAAAAGTCATAATGAAAAATTTTAGGTACCAAAAGGTAATTTTTCATTGATATTTTTTGTATAAAAATTAATTTTTAGGTACCAAAATGTAAAAAATAAAAATTATAGGTACTAAACCGTAATTTGCCAATGATCCATGGATTCAATCCATGAATCCACCAATCCAATTGGATTTGGATCAAATGGATTGGATTTAAATGGATTGGATTAGTTGGATATTTTTAATGGATTGATGGATTGGATTGGTGGATTGGATTGAGAATTGGCACCTCTATTTCTAGTATTTTGTAGATAAATTTGCTTTCTATTTTGTTTGTGTTTAAATTGGTTCCTACCTAAACTTATAATCCACTCTGACCAACCTAATATGAATTTAACTAATAGGGCTCTAATTCAATTGATTAGTTTGAATCCTACCAATACTATATACACGTTCCCCGTGAAAATTCTCGGAACAGTAGAATGTTGTTTCCTGCGCAACTTACGAAAGGGCTTTCTGGCCTTTTTGAATGCTGTGCTTTGACGTTCTGTTTGGGTTCTACAACTTCTACTACAGTCCCATGGGTTTGGTACTTATTTGGCTTGGCCCCCACTTCTTATTCAAGCACACTAAAAAGAAACCCATAAGTCAAAATCATAACGGTTTTACAACTATTAGGCCATAACCCAATTTCCGAAACCCATGTCACGGTAACTAATTAATATACTATTAGTCCATGGTCCAATTTCCAATGGCATGCTAACTATTAGTTTTAGTTAACATTTATTCGAATAAAAGATAATTATGGTTTGAACTTTCAAATAAAATAGTTTTTCTCGAATTCTGACAGAAGTAGACAAATTTGGCTCGAAATTTGGTTCACCGTTAATATTGACTGTCAAACATTTCACAAAAGATAGTTTTGACTGACTTTTGGAATAAATGAACAAATTTTAGCTTGAAATAAATGATGTGAAAACCACATTGAAACCACCTCAGCATATTATAATGAGTCATAGAGGAAATAAATATTTGACCGTCAGTATTAACGGTCGACCTAAATTTTGGGTCAAATTTGTTAATTTCTTCCAAAATTCGAACGAAACTGCCTTATTTAAAAATTACGGCAAAAATTGTGTTTTATGTCAAATAAGCTATTAACACCTTTTTTGTCGAAAGGTATTATCCTTTTTAGTTAAATACAAAATTTTAACGTTCTAACCTTTAGTAGATTTGTTGGATATGATTTATTAATTAAATATTGAAAATGTTTTATTTTATGAATATAAATATTATTTGTTCATGAATGTAAAAAATTGACTTTGGAAATACTATCATTCTCATGTGTATCTATGACACACTCAAAATATTATCAATACCAAAATTGTGGAGGTTATTCTACGGCCTACGGGGCAAGATAGTCGATAGATGCCAGTTAATGTCATTAACAATCTTTTAATTACTAGATCGCTAATTTTGCATATGAGAAGACATTGTTTTCATCTGCACTCTACCCGTTGGTTTTGGCGACTAAATTATTGTTAATTCGCATGGCATTAACATATAATATAATCAATTAATCGCAACCGGCCAACGGGCCGGGGTACCATCTAGTATGGTATTATTTAAACCGAAGTATATGGGTTTGTGGAAAAACCAAACCATCTGATAACATTCAAATTATAGTGTTCTCAATCTCCTATATTTTATATTTTCACTTTCTAACAACGCATTTTTAGTAGGTTTTGCTATATGTTTTATGAATTTATTAACTATTTGGTCAATATGCTTCTTTTTATCTTGAGTTTGTTTTAGTATTCTCTTATACCTTTTTGGTATTATTTTCTATTTTTCGTGATAAAATATAGTCACATATTCAGATAACCTATTGGATGACGTTTAAGGACTAAAGGGTTAAATTCTAGAAGATTAAGGATGTTTTTGTATATAAAATAGAGTCCAAATGAACGAAAATCCTACTTGAAGTCATTTAAACCCAATAGAAGCTTGTTGGAAAAAAACCCAGAATAAATGGAGGAAGCCCACCATTACGGGTCAAAGCGCCTTCCCACCACCATTGGATCAAGCAAACCCAAATTCATCTAGGAGCTTTCCTCTGAGTCAAGCAACCCATATCCATGAAGAAATCAACGACATGTCCAACCACCATGTGACCGCCGCCAGCCCTAGGGTTCTTGAATCTTTTAGAAGCTTCTTTCTTTCTTTTCAAGTCAAGGAATCCGACTTCAAGTCAAACAATTGACCTTTTGGCCGAGTTTATGAAGGACAAACCCCTTCTTACATTGTATTATAAATAGAGATTTAGACTAGAGTTTTATATACACAATAACTCATATACCATACACCCTACAAGACACAAGTTGAAGATTCGGGGCTTCAACCCTCGAGTAGGTGGGGATAAACAAAACTTTATCTAAAGTTCTTACCTTTCCTTGAAAGAAAGGTTTTTCATCGGTCGATTCTGTTGTGTTTCTTATGGTTAGCTAAAGTCTTTGTTGTTTAGGGATGTGAAATCTATGATGCTTAATGCATCACATTCAATGATATAATGATATGCTTGTTGTATTTCATGCATTTATCATTTATTATTTGCTATTTTGGTTTTGATTATAATACCATCATAAGTTTTTAGGAAACTCCTCTTATATGGTATGCTATTATCCTATGCATGTATGATTGATTGGAAGTGATTATGCATGCTTGTGTATGATCAATGCTAGATAGATTAGATCACCAAAGCCATGAACCATTGCTATGTGCTCATAGAGGTCCTAGATAGTAACGTGCTATGCTTACTTCCTTGTTCTTGATCGATTAGTTAGTGACATGAAGCAAAACCACGGATTAACTAGTTGTAGTTCCTTTTGCATATGACGAAAGCTCGATTATGAAAGCACTAGTAAAAGGGATATTGCATCATAATAGAAGAGATGTATGGATGCATATCAATCATAAATTAGTATGCATAATCCTGTAGATGAAACTAACTAACCAATAGTTTTATCTTATATATCTATCCTTATTTATTTCCTCGTTTATTTACTTCTAAAATCAACTAGCAATGGGAAACCTCAACCAATCGTGTTTACCTTTTATTACATCTTTGTTCGAGCATAAGTATTTAGTTATAAAGTAGTTACTATTGAAAGACAAATAACCTAGACATTTCTAAGATTTAGTACTTTGTAATATACTACAATCGCATCACCACTCAACTCATTTGTGTCTACCCTACAGGAGAGGCCGCAATCGTTTGAATGAACTAGATAAGAAAGAAATATAATAATTAAATATGTTTCTTAAATCTCAACCAATAAATATCTTTAGACATATCTTTATTCTCATATACAGATATCATGTTGTTCATCCTTTCCTATCTCATTTGTTCCATTTGAATAAGGTTACAAGGGTGTCTACCATGTTCTAATCAACAAGAATATCTTATTCTCGGGAGGATAATTTCACATTATTCAAATCCTTAATGATGTGTGGCCTTTGCAAAGACATGTTCTCTTACCATTATGAATTTGATCATGGTTATAACCACATGTGTCCGAATTTGACCATCGTTCTAACCATTTTCTCCCAGCATCTCTGTGCTTATTGACGGTGTTTATGAAAAGACCAGGTTGTTCAGTGTGCCACGACTAATGCAAAGCGCAGACTTGAGATTGGGTCGTGCTTCTCATGCTTCTTTTAGTATGATACTTGGTGTTTGGACCTGCCTTGTTGATATGGCTCACCGGTTATAACAAGTCCATCAAACCCAACTTTTAGGTTATTCCTACTTTTCCTCCCTGTTCATCGCTTGCGGGTTATTGCCACTATAGGATGTTATAAAAACAAAGAACCAGCCGAAAAAATCTTGGTTTCTGTGATTGTAATTTGGTTATGTAGTCTCTTAGATAAGTTGGTTTGCTCTCTCGACATAATTGAAATTTCGGTCAGTAACATAACTAAAGAGCAATGAGGTAGAAATGCAGCACCGGCCAAGTGTCAACCATAAATCAATGACCCTTATGCCAAATAAGTCAACTTATTGAATATATACTATAGGAGAGTGTTTGCTTGTATCTTACTATATAAAATTGACATCTCTTTTCTTTACATAACCTGTTATACTCTTAACTGTGTTGTTATCTTTGCTGCAGAGTGCAGATTTAAGACTCTTCTATTCAATACTGATTCCTTTATATTATGATGTGTAGAAACTTTTGTAATAAGTGAGGATAGATTATTGGCCATTGTGTCTCCGCTACTATCTGTCGCCAGCCTTTCTGAGTTGCAGGTATAGGTTATGAAATCAACAGTTTTCTGTCTTCTTTTAGATTTTCATCGTTCTTTTCTACTGTTCAGTTTTCTTTTGGAAATTGCTCTATAATTTCTCATACTTTGCTATCCAACCTTTTCTTACCACATTACTATCATGGAATACAACTATTGGGAATGGTGTGTATAAAGTCTTACAAATTACAAAGGCTAAACTAACTCTATGTTGTTTATTTATCTACCGTTTCTTCCCTGCATCATCAAAGTTTCCCAACTCGCAACTCGTCCTGGGTAGGCTTGAAACAGGATGGGGAAGGTAGGATAGGAGAAATAGCATATGGGGTAGAAGGTGGAGTGCTAACAGCAGGTTGAGAGGAAGAGATGAAGGGGGAGGGGAGCAAGGGGCCAAAGGGGAGTTTTCAATAATGTCAGAAAAGACAGAGCAAAGCAATTGATGGGGGAAAGCGAGCAGGGTACAAGGGTTAGGGAAACCTCAGATTGAGAAGATTCTATGCTTGGAAGGTAGGAAGGGAAAATCTCTGCGGGAGAGGGTAATGGTGAGGAACAATGGTGGTACGGTACCTTTTTTATTCGCCAATATACAGTTATCCAGGCTACCTCGATAAAAAAATTAATGGCTCACCATTCCCGAGAGGAAGAAGCAGCTGATGTTGATGCCAATGACTAGGCAAACAACGAATATATTTTTCATAAAGTTTGACCCTCTCTCTCACTCTCTAATAGAGGTGGAAAGAACTTAACATACTGTTTCTCACTCACTTCACTCTCTATAGCAATGGTGGCAGGAACTTGTATACTTGCTCTCTTTTCCACTCTAGCAATGGGGATAGGGATGATAATCAACACCCGCCCCGACGGGTATTCTTCAACCTAAGACTAAATTACATTTGCCCGTTGTCGTTGGTTTTGTTGGGTTGTTGGGCTGCATCTCTTGTGCGGACTTCAGCCTTAAGAGCATCTCCAATGGTGCAAATGGAGGGAATTTCAAGCTGAGGTGGCAGCCATGTGCAATTGAAAAAGTGGATGGCATTGATGTAAGACCACTTTCAAGGGATGAAAATTTGCACACCATGAAAATCCGACATGCAATTGCAAGTGAGTCCTTTGTTTGTTTTTGTTTTTCTTTCTTCTTTTCCCAACCATTTGTGTGGTATTAAAATGTAAGTGGGACCCAGAAGTGCAATTGCATTGGAATGGCATTGATGTAGCTAGTATTAAATTGATGAGTGAAATAATTGCTAGAGTTGCTTAGGTGGCAGTAGGGACCACACTTGAAAGTGAAGAAGGATTGCATTGTTGGAGATGCTCTAACTCTCTCTTTCTCTTTTAATGAATTATTCACCTTCATAAAAAAAATCACATTTGTTTTTTCAATATAAGTTTTTTTACTGCATTCTTGCGTGGCTGTCTCAAGCTAGATTAATTTATCATGATACTGAGGGTCATTTGGAGTAGGCTAAGGTCCTTTTTACTAGAAGGAAGGCTTGTGCAAAGATTTAAAGATTAATATAGAACCTTGTAGTGAGTATGATGTGGAGGGAGAGATGTAGTAGAGTACTTGAATACTCGGGAGTAGATCCTCAGGTGATAATCTATAGTTTTTTTGTTTTAGTATAGAGTGCTAGTATTAGTTGTATAACAATGATAGTTGATGTAATGATTTTGAGTGATTCATTTGTATCGGAGGGGACTCAAATTGAGTCTTCTCTTGTGCTTAATACAAACTTTTGATTGCTCATAAAAAATTGAGCTTATTCATCATATATACACAAAATTTATAAGATTAAAAACTTAATTGATATGGTTTGAAGTTAAAAATGGCTCAATTGACTTTCCAGAAAAAATAATAGTATTTGAAAAAATTTAATTTATTATTTACATCTTCAAAAAGTGTCCCTAAAATATGCATTTGGAATTTGAAGAAATTAAGTGCTGTAATTGAAGTTAGAAGATCCAAAAAAGTAAAACATAAAAGTTAAGTGACATTATCAATTTTTAGCAAATGCCAAAAGGTAAAATGGTAGAGGGAAAATAGTAAAAAGTGATAACACTAGTTATTGAACCTACAACAAGCTATGCGGAAGGGTGATATTTGCAGGTGATGCAAATGATGTTATGGATAAAGTTCGGATCGGAGGTGTGTTGGATGCACGTGTCGGGCCACTTTAGCAACATAGTTGTTCTTCAGGAGTATTTTAAGCTTTTTAATGTTTGCTTTATTGGTCAGAACAATAATAGGGTTGCTTATTTGGTGGCGAAAAAGGCTCTTCTTTATTCTCAAGTTTATTAGAGTTTGCTTTTATGTCCTAGTTCAGGATTTTGTATTGACTATTCAATTTTTTTTCTTTACTCGTTAATACAAGTGATCTAATAGAAAAAAAAAAATACATCATGCCCTTCTCATATTGCGCAAAATACACAACACTATATGTTGAACTAATAAAAAATATTTTGATGTAGTAATACATTTAATTTATACATAACTTTTAAAAAAATGTTTACATAAAATTTTCAAAATTCTCAATAAATTCGCTCCGGTCACGACTCCAATAAGAAAAGTAAACAAAATCTCTTTTACGCCTGTTGCTCGACATCAAAATCATCAATGAGTATACATGGTGATCGTTGCCCAAAATAAACCAAACCCAAAGTAGGAATATTTTTTCCTCGACACTAAACAGTAGCCTAAATTCAACAAACTACAACTCCCTCAATCCTTTTGGTTCAAGCAGTAGAAGTGTAGTTAAAATTGGCACAAGAAGTCTGCCTAAACAACAAAGAAGAGCTGAACCCAAGTTTGGAAGCCGCAAGATCAAACTGCAACAGGTTATCCTCCACCTGATGCCCACCGATCACAATCGGAGTCGTGGGATTCTCCCCGCCATCCACAATACCTAGACAAATCACATCTTCCTTCACCTGAACCATCGAGTTCGCGCCGTAAATCCTCCAGTACACATTGCTGCTCTGCAACACCAGATCAATCACGGGCACTGCCGGCCCTACCGGTGTGCTCCCGATCGCGGTCGAGTTGTAACACAGCTCGAACGGGCCAACCCCTGCCACTCTAGGCACTCCACTTAGCTCCTTAGCAAAAATGGTAACCACAGCTTTGTGAATGGAAGCGTGGAGTACGGTGTACGGCTGGACAGTGCTCATCTTCGTCCCACCAAAACCATATTCGCCGAATTGGAGCAGAGTCTTGTTGAATTGGACATTTTTGCCGTTCACTTTGATTGAGTTCACTCCAATGAAATAGTCAGACGATGTGTCGCCCGCAAAAGAGGCGGAGGCAGTGCTGACGTTGTTGAAAATCAATGGAGTGTAGATCAATGACTTGGAGATGTCAATGTTTGTTGGTAGCATATTATATGGCCCATCTCCAAAGAAGACAGCTCCTTTACCAGAACTCAAGCAAATTGCGAACTTTCTGCGGAAGCTGAAGGCGGCAGAGAACTGGGCAGGGAGGGAGATTTTGGTCCAGCCTAGACCAGCCATGCCTTCAACCCCCTTTGCAAGTCCCTGTAGCATGAATGTGGCGGCACAAGTGAAGATAAAGTTTGGAACTTTGACGATTTTGCCAGGGTTGGACCCATCGGTCGATTGGATCGAGACGAAATCCTGACCGAGTTGGCGCAGCGAGTAGGTTTGGCTCACCGTGTTGTCAGCTATTAGGCCACAGGTGTTGTTGTAGCTCCCGGGTTTGGGGGATGAGAAGCAGCATTCTGAGAAGCAGGTTTTTGTCTTTGCAAGCGAGCATTGAGCAGACCCACAAAGAGCTGGTTTGTAGGACGATGAGAGATAGCCTTTTTCGCAGTCCACCCAGAGGTACTGCCCTCCGAGGTCGAGAGTTAGCTTCACCGGGACAAGAGGGGTTCTTTGGTTGAGTTGGGTGAGGTACTGAAGGGATGATGGGTCCTTGGTAACTGGGAGAATTAAGGCTTTTGGGCGGAATGAGGGCTGGGATTGAGATACTGTCGTGAAGAAGAACAAGGAGAGAAGGAAGGAAATGAGGTGGTGGTTAGAAGGAACCATGGTTATGGTGTTCAAGGTGGTGGATGTGTGAAGATGTGTTTCAATATGGTCTATTTATATTGGAATTTTTTTTTCCAAACGTGCCTGCTTTTTGCCAGATTCCAGCCATTGTAGTACTCCAAGTTGCTGCAAAAAATTGACCATCAATTTGCATTAAACTATGCATCTCTTCATTGGAATGGGAGCATGTCTATCCATTTGACACGCTTTGGCTAATGGAAGACAAGTGATACCCACACATGTTTCATGACTTTACATAATTACATTAACTATGCCACATCTTTTATTCGATTGGGACATATCCCTTTACCAAGCTTTTGAGGTCAAGTTGAAGTGGACACAACACAACCACAACCAATGCGATCAACCAAAAGTATAGGACTACTAATCAAACTGCACCATAGCAACAACACATTCTATACATAGTGCAGAGAACTCAGTGTCAAGAACTCGAACCAAAGTAGACCACAAGCTACCAAGTTAACAGACAGCAATCCGGTGTATCTATATTTATATTGATTTAGTAGCAGTTGGTAAAGGAAAACTGTGGCAGCTTCCACCAGTTCATTTATTTACTGGAGCTGAGCCATCTGTATAGGGGGTCTTGTATTAAGTACATGATTATTACCTATCTTGAACAATAGCTTCGGGGAGCTTCATTGGGTATTAAGAGTATACTAGGATCAATACCCGCGGCTACGCCGCGTGATTAAAGATGCAGCAACATAACCACTTGGTGGCAAGCTTAGGCAACAACAAACTGTGAGTCGTTGTACTACTGACAAACGGTGTGGGTTTAGAAGTTTTGAAAGTGTATCCAGAAATTCACGGGAATCTGAACGAAGAGAAACATCACATGGTTGATTGTAATTCGGATATCACCGTTTGAAAAATCACTAAAAATTCTCAAAATCTACAACGAAAACCAACCCAAATCGCAGGAATCAAGCTAATAATTACTTATTTTGAATTGCGTGAAAAGGGAATTCAACACTGGGATTGATTTACGCAAATGAGATTGAATGTGGCAACAGTAACACGAACAGGAATGTAGCATTATTAGTAATCAAATGACCACTGTTTCTATCACGTTGCTTCACATCCATCCCATTTACAAACAAATTTTTCAGTTTCTTTGTACCGTTGGCAAGTAAAGGCCACTGTTTCTATCACGTTGCTTCACATCCATCCCATTTACAAACAGATTTTTCAGTTTCTTTGTACCGTTGGCAAATAAAGGCCCTATCCTTTTAAAGTTGCCTCTGAACTGGCCAAGTTCATCTTGGAAACTCTAATGTTGTGGCCATAAATGCATCTTGGATTTCACCACTTCACACATGGAAATTGACATATCCAACAACTTGCCATCAAGAACCGCACATTGAAATTCCGCGAAAGGACAGGAGATCTTTTCAAAGTACAGGTGATTTGCAACCAACATAGATATATCATATCATATAAAACATCTCTAAACCTTAAAGAAGCAAAGAATTATCACATAAGAGAGAAAACAAAATTCCATCTCCAGTTAACCTGAAGTACTCTTGATAGCACATGCTTGACGGTTAATCTAATATCAACATGAAGACCATCTTCCTTATATTATGACATTTTCCCATCAGCAGTAACTGTTAGGGCGGTAATAAAAGAGAAACCAAACCCCAATTTGAAATGAGGAAACCTTTGTACTATATATATATATACACTAGATTAGAAGCCCGTGCTTCGCCACGGATGTTTATAGAGAAAACCTCCACTAATGCTTGCCTTTCAATGTTTAGGAAGGGATACCATCTACCCAAAGGTTAATCACAATCTACTGTAAAAAAAAAAAAAAATCACCATTTCATTCTAATTCATGACTTGCACTACCAGATCGGGGAGATTAAATTTATTTAAAGATGAAAAGTAGAATGAAAAGAAAATTAGTTTAAGATCATAAAAACTCTGAAGCTAAGATAAAACTTGATCTCTGCATCGGAAGATGAGAACTTGCAAACATCAATCCGAGCCAAAGTGTAGAGTACACATATAAGAGCCAAACAAAAATAGTAAGCCAGTGCAACACATCATGAAAAAACAAAAATAGTAATTAGAATTACAAAACTAACGAAGAAAATGCATGCATGAATAGAAACATTTATTCTTAACAATGATTTATGCAGAAGACAATACAAAGTTTTGACTCTCACATGGATCGGTTTCAGCTTTCATGTTGCTGCTTTCCCGCCTAATCAGTTGGCTTCATATCATTCAGAACCCAATGATAAGAAGTAATTCTCAAAGCAGAGCACGAACTGTAGATGCTAAAAGAAGAGAATTGCTTGAAAATTTCTACATTATCAATTGAGAAATCTACAACTAAATAGTATCCATCAGTGTCCAATTAAACATGAGCTTTCAGAGGTGTTCGCTTATCTCGTGAAGGGATATGTCTTTGAAACAACATTGCAGCTCAGGACTGTGAATGATGTTTTGGATGAGAATTTGTATATAAGACAACAAAATGCCTTCGGAAACTGTAAGAATGATATGCATAAGAACAACAAATCAGCTTGTTACATAAAGTAAATAATGAAAAAGGATATTGATCAGTCATGTACAAAGCTGAAAAAGACAATTATATAAACTGAATGGAACTAACTAAGGTGATGTTCTCTGGAATAATGGGGTCATTTACAAAGGTGACGTCAATCTACTTCATAATTGGATCCTTGAACAATACATGTCAAAGATAAAACTGGTACAGCAATCAATTAAAACAATGGACCCATATCTGATAGCAAGAAATTAAGTACGTCGACTAATTGGAATGGCCAGCTAGAGGGAACCAACAACAAACCACATTCGAGCTATCAGTGTGAAGTAGAGCTGACATACATGCGTTCCACGTTCAGATATAAATCTCCAGCATGCTTTTCATGTTCAGTGCAAAAAGCAATGTTGAAAGCAAGAATCAACAAAAACAAAAGGGACATACATATCAAGATTGGTGGCAACACATTAAATTTAAAACCAACGCTAATCTGAAACCCACTATGATTCAATTCAATTGTACCCCAAGATGCCATAGGTCTTCCAAAATCAAGAGAAGTCGAAGGCATGTAGGGAAAAGCAGCAAACTAAAGCAGATGAAGAAGAAAAAACAACAGGTAGCCATTACCTGGAGCCTGGAGGAGCAAAGAAAAATAAAATGAGCCTAAGGTCCAAAAGACCAAAAAAGAAACACTTAAGTTATCATCTGCTTTTCTTATTCTGCATAAAAATTATAAATCGATACCAACCGTTAAAAACCTCAGAAGTGTTTGTGAAAAAGTACTGTTGCAATGGTGCCAATCTCATCAAAAGCAATTGACTTTGTTAATCTCATGAGATCGATAACTTCCCTAGCTCTACCAACCTCTTCTCTGTTGTAATATTATATGGTTACTTGTAGGAAACCTACTGTAATGTCCACCTTTGCATTATAACACCAACAACTACGATTGAATATGAACAAATAATAGGGAAAGTAAGAATACCAATCCAAATCACACATGCAGGAACAAAAAAACCATACCTCCTGTATAATTATGCAGATGCACAAATCTCAATATCAACATAACTCAAACTAAGAAAATGATAACACTTGGATTCAATTCCCTAGCATGTATCACTATCAAACTAAAAAAGTTGGGGGTTTACCATTTCCCTAGAACTCTATCATCATAAGAAGATATATGAGAATTTGATCTATAAAGCCAATATGAATAAGAATTTTCATAGCTTGGTTTGATTGGAAGTAGAATAGGTTAACTCAATGTATAGGGATCTTTCACTGGGCTCTTGCCACCCTCCACAATTAGTCTCATATCAAATCCATGAATAAATTGGGTTCAATCTCAAATCACTGGGCTCTATTCACTGATCTACAATACTTGTGTTCATTCAGCCAATGGGTGAAAAGCAATAGTGTTATCAAAAGCATTGTCAATTTAATTATTAGAAATGAAAGGAATCAGTAAATCATATCTATGAACAAATTGGGTTTGAACATTAGCTATTTGCGGTAAATGAACAGAAAGTAAATCCATGAACAAAAAGTCAGGGGAGCTAAATCCAAGTTGTTGACTCACCTAATTCCAGTAATGGATGTCGCCGCCAGGAGATTCTCCAGGTTCCAATGGACAAAAAGAGTCACAGTTAGACCGAAGAGGCCAATCTTCGGCGGAGTTCATTGGATGTGGAAAAACTTTGTGGTGACCGTCTTGTCGTCTTCTTCAAGAAATTGAGAAGGGCAAGAGGCTTGGCTCGTAGGAGACAGATTGAAGGAGCTGCAGCGAGGGTTTCAGCTCAAGCTTAATTAAATCGAAGGAGGAAAGGACAGTAAAATCCGGAGAGAAAAGAGAGGTCGAGATGATAGAGGAGGGGATGCGGCAATCACTTTCCTTTTCGAATGCTACCGGCCGCCAAATCTGGGAGGCTCCTCTTAAATCCTTGAATCGCAGCCAATGTCGCCGGCGCTGAGATCTTTATTTTGGTCTTTCAATTTTGCGCGTGGAGAAGAAGGAACGGGGAGAGAGAATGATAGAGAAAAAAAGCAGGAGAGAGGAGGTTTAGCGATATGGATCCAACGGTTCGAGAATAAAGATCCAATGGCTATTGCTAGGGCAGCCCAAAATGATTTCACTTGGAATTAAATAAAAACGACAACAGCGTATCTATGCAACAACGTGAACAGTAACCTCCGATTTTTTCTTAATGAACAGTAACTACGATTTTTTTGGAACTTGAGACTTAATAATTCTAATAATTATGCAACTTGGACGTTGCTAGCTGTTCAATAATTGTTCTTGGATTTTACCTTCCTTCGATGAGGGAGTCCTTAAGCCAAGTATCAAACTGTTGATCCCATGGAGAAACAAAGCTACCTGCACGGTCCATAGCTCTCAAATTGTGAGTAGCAGAGTCAGAGCCAATGATGAGCACGCATTCCTATCTCAATGGAGCCAAGACCTTGCTCATATTGTAGTGATACGTTCTGTCTCTGTCAGACTGGACAGATAATTACACACTTGAATGTCAGCCTTTGGATACATGAGCATTAATGCCACCCATGCTCTATGATCTGCTCCTCTTTTCTTGTATTCCACTACTTCATCAAACCCACATCGCATAAGCAAAGGGCTATATTTTCTAGCACAAAACTGTCTATGACTGAAAAATATAAGAACATCAATATATCAAAACTTAAACTGAATTAAGCAGAACACAGAGGAACTCAGAAACTATACACAGCTAGCAAATTTGAATAAATAAGTAAATAACATGTATATGGTAAACCTTCAGCTTAATTTGACAGGAACAATTAAGTTAACGTAAATAGGCTACCTACATACTCTAGATATGTAAACAACTTTTCTGATCTAGTATTGTAGCAGCAGCATAGCAATTAGTTTAATAAAGGTCAGAATGTTGGCGAAGAAGAATTATTACCAGGGGAAGAGAGCTTGAGAGTCCAACTGTAAGCTAACAAAGCCATTTCCTCCATTGTTTGCTGTTTACAGCAACTTCTAGGAATCTGTAAGAAGATACACTCATATGGTTGGTTTTTACCCGGATTGTAAATTAAAAAACCCCTCATGGAAAGAGGATTGAGTATGATGATTGAGTTTTAGTCAAGGGTACCGAGAAATGGACGTCAAACCAAGCTTCTTCTCATGCGAATTCACCTCCTACAACAGAACGCGAAACTCTAATTGGACTCGGGTAGGATCACAATCTCATGAACTTTCTGCCGACAACGATGCACCAACTTCACAGGTTCCCTGAAACATAATGTTAAAGTCACAAACTCGTGTCCCTTCCAATTTTGCAATCAAACAGAAACTGCCTAAGAAACTCAAAATTTTTATATACCTCGTCCTTGTAGCAACCTACTCTTCATCTTGATGTGAAGTGAACCGAAATGAACTTGTCACTTATGTATGCTTTTTTTCTTCTTCTTAAAAGCTCTCTTCTACCCAGGACAACCATTCCTTAGCTGCTTATTGTTGCTGGTTATCTCCATAAGCATATTGTAGAAAACTCCTCTATGATATTGCTGGGGAGAACTCCTCTAAGATTCTGTGACATAGAATCAGACAATGACTCCATCAGCATTGGCTCAGCTGAACTTGAACTGTTAGTGCAAAGCCTAGATAGGGAAAAGGCAGTGAAGGAGCATGACTCATACCATATATTTACCCATAAAAGTAAGAAAGCCAGTCTGAAAATTATAACTCATTGAAGCTTGGGTCAAAGCAGATTAGATATAAGCATGTATCACAACACGACCGTCCTCTTTACTAAATATTATATACGGAGACAACATGATTAATAACATGAGAATGCTATTATTTCCACACCTTACACCTCGCTGTTCACAAACAAGTCGGGATTACAATGAAGTCCTTCTAATTTCATCTGATGAAGAAGATACTGAATGCCATCAACATTGCCTTCATCACCCAGCCTCCGAATCATGGTTCTGTACGTTAGCGCAGTATGTCTGAAGGCTTTTGAATTGGCAATCGACTTGAAGTAGTCTAGAGCTATTGAAATGCTGGGCTCATTCTCTAACCTCGTCAATACCTGGGACTCTTTGAGAAGAGGATGGCTTCTTTCGTATTGGGGATCGAGATTATGATGTGGGTTCGTGTTGAGAACGAAGGGGAGTGATTTCTTGCTGTTTCTCAAGCTCAATAACAATGAACGCCCTTCTTTTAGATACATCTCAAAAAAGCCAGAACCCAGAAAGTTCAGAACCCTACTCAACCAAGCAGCTACGTTCTCTAATTCAGCAAACGATGAACTCAAAACTCGTCATAATCGCAAAGGGAAGACATACCTTCTCTCGCGAAAGCCGATCCCACTGGCACACCAAACTCCGGCGCCTTTCTGTGTCCATTCCTTTTATTCCTCGAACAGCAGGAAAAGGAAAATATAACAATGGCGAGCTCAGAACTGGGAGAAACTAGTTTCTCTTTGTTCCTCTTGGTTACCCCCGGAGGCGGGAAGGCAAGACTCCGGTGTCGTTTTAATTGGCCGAACGTAACTTTTCTGTGAGAATTAATAAACTTGCAACAAGAAAGTTGAATTAATAAACTTGCATTGCATTAGGATGGACTCTTGCATTGCTCCTGATCGCTTGATTTCATGCAATGTTTTTAAGCAAAGATAGCTAGTGTGTCATTTACATTGAAGGTAACTATAAAAGTGAATTCAAAGAATGGGCAAACAAAGGCCAACCTCTAACCTACCTAGTTGTAGGCTCAACAGGAGGAGGAGAAGTGCAAAAGCTACTCCTTAAATCATAGCTATATGTAAATTCTAACTACTGATACTTTTCATCTGGCAAGAGCACAGGCAAGCAGGAAGGATTAGAAAGGGCAAGTACTCAAAAAAGGTACAATGCATAAAGCAGACCGAATAAACTTTACACACAATCGATAGAAAATAACACATAACTTAATAACAGACAGATAAACAAACAAACAAATAAGAATTACATAGATTTGTGGACGAAAGAGAGACTACCTTTCAAATGTTCATGTTAGAGAATAATATTTGAACGAGAAATTGTGGTAGCCCTGACAACAAAAACAAAATTCTCACCATTAGAACAAACAACAGTAGTCCTCAAACGAAGAAGAAACAAACACAATCTACTGGGAAAAGGAAACAATAACGGAAAAAATACAAAACAATAACGTCCAGTAAAAATAAAGGTAAAAATACAATCTGCATGTTCATTCTGCATATGCTCAGAAGAACAACCATAGGATCCCTAAAAATTTGAACCTGATGAGTTGTCGGTACAAGGAGGATCTTGCCTGATCAAAGAACTATTAGTGGCCAAACGACTATATTCAGAAACTTATCGACCTAAACACAAACATCAAGCATGTGCAAGCAATTTACTCGTTACCTTATCTATGGCAGTACAAGCTATTATCAACAAACTCATTCTCAACTTGGTTATGTTTGGGAAAGGAAGAACATTGTTTTTCGAGTTCTTGACCATATTACAAAGTTCACAGTAAAGCACCAAAGAATCTGGAAACATGGAAACAAACTTAGCAAAGGGGAAAATAGTACAAAAGTGGAGAGAGGCTTCCTCACTTGTTAGCATATGAATAGTTAACCCCATAATCATAGTAAGAAATGATTAAAATCATTGAGATCTTTACATTTGTTTTCCACTAATCACATTCACAGTCATGGCCTTATGTATGGTCCCAAATCAATTTAAACCTGCAGAAAAAGAAGAGACCCACTTGTAGAATCAAAATGCAATTCAGTCTTTATGGGATTATAACGATCCTATAATTCTAAATGAGCAAATCAATGTTGCATCAGCCCCTTGCCAAGCAATTTCATACACATCCTTTCTATATTCTTCCATTATTACTATAGATGTGAGGTAATACTTGCGTAAAACAATCTCCAATCACCTGCAAAGGCACAACTAAAACTAAATCTAATCAAACGTCACCTGTCAAACCGACAATACTCCAAAAAAAAAAAACAAATAGCATAACTCTTTAATGAGATCAAGACACTGATCACTCACAATTCCAACAAACATCATTTGTCCTCTTTGCTTTTCCATTATTCAAGCTAAAATAAGCACCATGAAATGTCCCTGCAGTAACATAAAAAAAACACACCTTTGGAATAAACCATACTTGATCCTTCCATTGTCTTCTCTAAACTCGTATATAATTTTAGGCCTAGCTCACCACCATTTATTGAAAGCTACTGAGCATAAAATAGAAACTATACAGAAAATTAGATTACCTTCAAGTCCTTCCTTTGTTACTTTCTCTTATTATAATCTTTCTCTTCGCCGTTACCCTGCCCAGAAACGGCCTGTCATTCCCTTGCCCACTTCCCATCCGCCATTACCCTCCACACTTCGTTCCCTAGCCAGATACAAAATGAGAAGCTACTTAGCAGAAAATAGAAACCAGCCTCTGTGACGCCCCCTCAGGGTACCACTGTAATGAAAGAAAACATGATTGAAAGTCACGAAGGCAGACCAAGAAAATTGATTGAGCAGCTCACCAATGATGGATGTACAGTGATCAGGAGACCCTCAAGCATAAAGAGCTTCTAATGTCTCGACATACTTATGAACTCTCTTCAATTGTAAATTTTTAGCCATAAATGAAATCAAACCAGAGCTAAAAAATAGGACTAATTTTCAATAGTTTACAACCTTTGAGGGATAAATTTTAAAAACTGCTCACCTATAAGTTCCTCTGTAGTTCGACATCTCCATCAAGAAGAATCCGTTCAATTTCAGCACCTCATTCATCAACAACCCAATCAAGCGCAAAACATCTTTCTCTGTTACCTTCCCACCTTTACTAATCACTTACTCCAAAGGCAAGACCTAAAAGAAAACCACTCACTCCCACACACGGGTTAGTGTTTGCCAATCGAATCACTTGCAATACATGGAAGTAGATCAAAAGGAAAAGTATGCATACCCTACCTGCGAGGCTACCGACTTCCAAGCTGAGCGTGGAGATGGATTTAGAAGCTTTCTCTATGGTGGCATTTTTTCTCATCTCAAGGTAATGCTTCTCTTGGCTAATTGGGTCTTCAAGCAACACCATTTTGGACTGTCTTTCACCCCCTGTGACTGGAATTTGGGTTTAGCTTCTCAAAAAAACATTCTGTAGGGTTTCAGCTCGCAAGCAATCAGGCGAGCCGCTACCTGTCGTTACCCATTGCCACTATCGATGGCTTATCCTTCATTATCATCATCTCTTCTTCTTTTTGCCTTCTCTGCCATTGGTAGTCTTCGTATACGCGTTACATTAGAAACAAACACTACAAACCAAAACAAAAAGAATAATGATGAAAAGTTTTGCAACTTTACATCTCTACAAAGGAACTAACTTTCCCTGAATCCAATCAGTCGGTGGGGTAAGAAGCAAGGGGAAAAGGAATGAGAAAGTACCAGACAGGTCACCCCCTCCACCTGGTCCAGCGCGTCACAGCGTCTCATTGTCATCCCCGTCGTAGCCATCTTAGCCTCCCATCTTTGTTGTGCACTTGTCGCTCACCTCTGCTCAGTGTCCCTGACCACTACCAGGCAAATGCCAACCTTGCCATCGCCAACCCACTAGCCTTGTTGTTGCCATCAATCCACCATGGGGATCGGTAGGCCTCCATCCACACCAGCCATCATCGTCAATCCTAGCGTCGATCCTCCATCGGCATCTGTAAGCTGGCGTCAACACCAGCCATCCTCGTCAATCCCGGCGATGCCAACTCCCAATTAGGGCCCAAGTATAAATCTTAATTGGGTGCAATATAGGGCAAGTGTGTTTAAATATCAACCCAGATCGGTCTGTATACCCCTACTTCGATTGTTTGAAATATTATCTAGGGATGGGTTGTTTGATTGAAAACTACGAGCTACAATTAAAGCGGTTGTAAAAGTAATTGATTTTGACTCTTAAATGAGAAGGATTCACCTGGGTGTAGCTCCTCCTAACTCGCTACCATGAGTTGTCAGAATGACGAAAAATGTATGGTGGAGGTGATTGAGAACCTTAACGGAAGAGTAGCTAGTGATGGAACATCACTCTCTCGGTCTCTAGGCCAATGAATTCGGATTAAGCTACCAAGGTAGCTCTCTTGGCCTAATCGACTAAAGACTACTAAATCTTCACTCTCGAATCGGAATTCGGACGGCCAAAACACAATCAACCTCTGGGGAAGATTTTCCCAAATCCTTGCCTTGGATTGAAACCCTAGCTTCTTCTCTCTTCTTGCTCGTCACTTTCTCTTCTCTAGAATGTTGAAGAAGAAGGTTTTCTCACTCAATGTATCCTCTCTCCTTTTTCCTTCAGCTCAAGCCTCCTTTCATACCCAGGTCCGGCTCAAATCACGATCCCTGTTCACGGCTGTGAACTTAAGGCGGAGACATCTAGGCCCAAAACGTGTTGTCACTCGCCACGGATACACCGCGATTTAAAGCCCAACTAGAGCTCAAGCATAAACTCTAGTCGGGTGCATCATAGGGTAAGTATGTTTTAATTGTCAAACTCGGGCCGGTCCATGTACCCCTACTCCAATCGCTTAGTTTGTTATCTAGCAAACCCTTTAGGTTTAAAAATAAGAAAACTACAAATGAAAACAAGCAAGTAAAGTAAATCGTGGTTGTTCCAATGAGAGAAGAGTTAACCTAGGTATTGCTCCCCCTAGCTACATATCAAGATTATCCAAATCGAATGCAAATGTGTGGAGGTGTGTTAACACACCATAAAAGGCGCAACAAGTGAACCAAGTTCACTCTCTTAATCAATCAGTTAAGGACAATAATTAAGCTAGGAACCTTTGGCTCTCTCAATCAATGGATTTAGGATTGCTACAATAAACTAGGGAGTCTAGCTCTCTTAACCTTTCGGCTAAGGATTGCAACAATAAGCTAGGAGTCCTAGCTCTCTTAACCGATAAAACTAAGGGTTGCAAGGACCAATCCCTCGGAACTTAATCCGGACGGCAAAGTAACACCCAAGTTAAAGTGCTAAATCGAAGTTTGAGGTTTGCTTTGCTCTAGGTAGGTGTCTCAATTGGCCAAGGAATCCAGCTTATCAAAGCCTTCTAACATAAAGGGAAATTCCCTCTACCTAGGTCAAATTGGCATAGTAATGAGAAATGGAGAACACAACCCAAACATCATGGAAATATCTCAAACTTTGCATTAAACACAAACCCACACACAAAGCATTCAATTAATACAATCTATCACATATTTCAAGCTAGGGCTCACAACACCCAATTGAATAGGTAGGCTATTCCATAGCTAGGCAAAAGAAAACAAGAAAAATGAGAGAAAGAACCATGAAGAGATGACAATCTCCTTCTTCCTCCTTTGAATGGCACTTTCTCTCTCTCTCTCTCTCTCTCTCTCTCTCTCTCATAGGAAGAGGAAACCCTAATCTCTCATTAGAAACCCTCCTTTATTCTGAAAACTAAAACCCTAGAAAAGCTCCCTTTCTCCTTCAGCTGACTTCCCCTTTTATACTCAGGTCGGGCTCAAATCACTGTCCTAGTTCACGTCCATGAACTCAAGGCAGGGACCGTGATCTCGGGCAGATTCGCACCGTTTCACTAAGTCACTTCATGGTCTGGGGCTTGAGTTCACGATCTTACGACCGTGAACTGACTTAAGTCTAGTGAGACCGAAAACTGCTCTGAAACCTCCACACTTCACGGTCTCAGGGGAATTGTCACGGTTTGGACTTTTCTTCACTTTTCGACCTCCAAACGACCCGAAACTTGTACTCGACCTTCCCACACGTGCTAGGACCTGAAATGTAACAAAACAAGCACAACCAAGCGCAAAATAGGTCGATAGACGATGATATGAAACGTAAAACTATCTAGAAATGAGGGGTAAAATGTGTGCATTTAGACCCGAATCACTCCCCCACACTTAGACGTTTGCTTGTCCCCAAGCAAACCAATTCTAAACAAGGTAATATCTCAACCTAACAAGATAACTTGGGGACATGTCAAAGGGCTCAAAGTGGGTGAATCCTTATAGCTATTGGACCTCAACAAATGAATTGTTACAAGCAATACCGGCATCCACCACAAACGATATTCGAATGCATTAAGAACGTGCAAACGAAAATTCCTCACCTTGTTCCCAAATCAATACAAGTCTTGACCGGACTACTCACCAACCACAACTAACCATTCATAGAACTCAAGCCCAAGGAACAAACTAATGGGCAACATAGGTCCTCATCGGGATAAGATATGAACATGCATAATGTGAATGAATCACTCACTCTCGACCAGTGGGCTCAGGGCCTCTTTGGCGCAAAGGATGTGCAAAATCATCAACACTCAACCCTATCGTCTCTCCACCATGGCGACAACCTCTAAATGATAGAGTTCACAAGATGGTTGTTGTCACTAGCTTGTCCGGAGGTCTTAGACACGAGTTCAAATGACTGGCAAGGGTCTTGGACATGGGGAAAAGGCCTTTTGGGTGGTGGATAGCAAAGCATGAGGTTCTATATCTTCAACCTAAAACCAAAGGTTCAAAGGTTTCGACTAGAACATTTTCTACAAACAAAGGACACTAGCATCGGCCAAAAACCACACTTCTCTTATTCCAAACCACTACTAATCACGAACTACAGTCAAGCACACTTCCTCGATCTATTCTTGTTATCCACAATTCCATCATAATAGTGAAGGAGGTCATCAAACAATTTAGGTGTTTCAATGGCTTGAGTTCCAAGAAACCCTTTCTAGAGCATACACTTAGACTTTTTTTGGCAACTCTCTACTTTTATTTACCCAGTTTTATTACCTCTTTTCCGTTTCGTTTCTTTCTACTTTCTTTTTAACTTCTTTTTTTTTTCCTTTTCTTTTTAAGGGGGGTGCTAGAGAGTAAAACACATGCCACTTAACATTTAACTAACAGTGCTCTCGATTAAGAACTTCCTCCAACACTACCTCTTCATTCCTAGCAAGAACCGTGCAAAATATTCCTATGTAGAACCTCAATGAAGCACAAGAGTAAGAGCTCTAAGACACAAGGACGACTCACGTTTTGACACGAAGAAAGGATGAGGGTGGTTTTATCAATCACCATTAAGCTCAACAAGCAAGAAGCTCCTAACATTAGAATGACCCTTAAAGTCACACGGCTCAAAGGGTTGACTAAGGGATAAAATATTTCGGGACAATCAACTTTTGGGCGTGGACTAATCCTAGCCACTCAATCATCTATTCCAATTCACAAAATTCAATGCATGACTATTGTAATCAAGGAGTAATCAAGTCAAGACATCCATTCATTTCCGCATACTTGAGAACTAAACATTTGCACTATCCTAATGCAATTCTCAGTCATCATAATAGGATGCACTCAATCACAAGTAAACAATTCAATATCCAAGCCAATAAACACGAGATTCTCCCACAAACCGACCACTTTGATCATGCAATACTTGGAGCCCTCAAATTTTTAAAATTTGGGCATATATCTAGGCTTCAAGCGCACAATCACACACAAGCATAATAGATAGACTAACCCCCCCCCCCCCCCACACACACACACTTAAGCTCGACATTGCTCTCAATGGCGCAAAATAAGGGGTAGAACGATGTTGCCACATAGCTTGGCGAGTGAAAGTCGGGACTGAATTTGGCCTTAGATGAAGAGGAGAGAGCTTCAAGGAGACCAAAAACAAATACAAACACACACATGCTCGCACAAGTCAAGTTTATTACATAATAATAGTACTTAATATAATAACACACATCAAACCTAGGTTGGGTTGCCTCCCAACAAGCGCTACTTTAACGTCATAAGCTAGACGGTTGCTTCTTAAACTTTGGTCCATCCGAGAACCTCCTTGAAGTTGAGGTTCTCATCGTCGAGGTGGAGCATCAAGTCATGAGCATATGCATTGACATTGGATGATGACTCATGGACTTGAGTGAGTTGAAGCCTCCACCCTTGAGACCTCTTCTTCTTCTTCTTTCTCTTTGCCCCACACCATGTAGTCCTTCATCGATTGACTTCCATCGCATCCACCAAGAGGGATCGCCGGTGGTTTGGCCTTGGTTTGGAAAAGAGCCGCAAATGGATCCTTCTCCAAAAGTGCATCAAGGTCGGGTGGAAAGCTTTCATAGCACTTGTAACTTGTGGATGCTTCATCCACCTCAACCTCGTCCTCATCTTGGACACCATTTTCTCCTTCTTCTTCTTCTTCCTCAACCTCCCTTCCTTCTTCTTCACTTTCCTCCCCTTGAGAACACTCAAGATCTTCCTCTTCAAACTCTTCTCTCGCCTTCCCATTCATGTCTTCAAAGTTGTTCTTGGGAATTTGATCGATGAAACCTTCTTGGTCATCCTCACCACGGGAGCTCTCCGGGGTTAGTTCCTCTTGCTCCATATAGTCTTCATTGGCCTCCCGACCAACCTTCACTTCTTATTCAATTGTGAGAGATGATGGTGAGCACAAGCTCGTGCCACCTTCTCTTCTAGCGTCCAAACCGTGATTTTGGACTTTTCCTCACTTTTTCGAGCTTTTAGACCTTTAATCGACCCGAAACTCATCCTCAACCTTCCCACATGTTCTAGGACCTGAAATGTAACAAAAAAATGCACAACCTAGCATAAAATAGGTCGAGAGACGATGAAATGCAAAGTCAAACTATCAAAGAAATGAGGGGTATAATGTGTCATTTAGACCCGAATCACGCGCTTCAGTAACTCAGTTCACGATCTTTACCTTGGGTTCACAGTCTTACGATCGTGAACTGA